AATCTCATCTCTCTAGGCACTTTAGAATCCCTTGGGTGCAAATTCACTAGTGAAAGTGGAGTTTTAAAAAAATTTCAAGATGCTCTTGTGATCATGAAAGCACACAGATCTGGTTCATTGTATACTTTATTGGGCTCTACTGTTATAGGCCCTACTACAGTTTCGGTATTAGATAACTTGTCTGATTTTGATGGCATTAAATTTTAACATATCCCATTGGGGCTTTTGCGGAGAAGGTGGAGCAAATTTACTATATCATCCAAAATTAGGCCAAGGTGGAGATTTGTAATATGGCCAAATTTTCATGACGTTTGCCATGACATAATATCCATTATAACAAATTTGTGGTTCATGACATTTGCCATGACATAATATCCATTATTAGGCTAAGGATTTCTTGCTATAAATAGAGGAGTTTCTCCTCATTTGTAAATACACCAACAAGACTTGTCTTCAATTCTTGTTTCTTCCTTTCTTCCTTTATTAAGAGTGTTTTGTATGAGAGTTANGGTTATTCTTTTAGGGTATTTGGGATTAATTAGAGTGTTTACTCTAATTTTGTACTCTCTTTTATACTCTTATTGTTATAGTAAATTGTTCATCTCCGCTTGTGGACGTAGATCACTTTGACCGAACCACGTTAAATTTGTGTCTTCTTTATCTACTTTAATTGTCGTTGTTATCAACTTCCATTGTCTTTGTTATTGCCATTATACCGTTGTTTGGCTATATTCCGCACTACCCGGGTTCCCGATCCTAACAGTTATTAATAATACATTTTTTCAGGATAAATTATTTTACTTTTATTGTTAAAGTAAAAATTCCTGACTTCATCCATCACTCTTGTTTAAAAGCAAATTAATTCTTTTCTTCTTAGTTTTTATGTTATCCGTCTTGCTTGACAAGTTCGAATTTTCCAACGGAAGCTTCTGCGTAAATATTACTCCATTATTATTATTATTATTATTATTATTATTATTATTATTATTATTATTTTAAAGAAGCTTCTATGTAAGTTGTTTTGTTTTGTAAATAATACCTGAGGTAAGAGTCTGCAAAGGAAAAGAAAGGCGGAGACCGAAGAACCTATAAAGTTGAAAATAGGACCAAGAAAAGACTAACCAAGGAATTACGTAATATATGCAATTTTGGAGCCAACTACTTAAACCTAGGGAAAAACCCAAGTACCATAATGGTAGTTTATGTGTGTAGTCCTACTCTTAATATTTTTCTTTACATCTTTTTTTTCCTAATAATTTTCCTTTCTTTTGAGCATCGGATCAGACATTAAAGAGTATCTAGGAGCATATTATACAATTCATAAAATTTAAAGATCTATATATTTGGTGAGAAGAAAATCTATGTATAAAAAGACGGGGAGGAAAAAGGGTAAATATGACTGGACAGCAGAACTTGATTTGAACTCGTGATGTTATAAAAATTAATTGAGTTGTCCAAATAGGTTTGTTTACCCGAAAAATCGGATATAGTTGAATTGATAAGTACTTCTAAGGATATGTGATATAGCCTGACATAAATCGTATGTAAAAGTGAAAATGTTTGGATTCTTGGCGATAGAAATGAGATATAAATTATTGAACTAGAAGAATGAGTATATTGAGTAAAAACAAGCTTAAGAGATTTATTCTTCAATAAATAGAAGTAGTCTTTTCTTACAATGTGTCCACCTGCTTGTGCTTACAAGGATTCCCCTTTATAGTAGAGGGATCTTACATTATTTATAATAAAAAATATATAGTGGAGAACTCATGATGAATTGTCTCTTCTCCTGTCAAGATTCTCTCCCCTAGTGCGGTTGCAACGGCTCCTGTCTGCGAGCTCGATACTGGCTCGAGCTCGGTATTAGATCGAGCCCTCGGCCTTGAGTTCGAGTTCGACATTCGGGGTGAGTGTCAATCGGTCTGTGCATCTTCGACAACCTTCTTTTTACTTTACGATTCGATTTGGTCATGGGCTTGATAATGATATCGAGCCAATTCCTCGATCGGTCTTGGAGCTCGAGTCTTGTATGTACTATCCTCGGAACTCGTCTCGAGCTCTCACTTCGATCACTTACAATTCGAACTCGATCAAACGTACGGAGGCTGAAATCTATTTCGACCGTATACAGATAGTCCACTCGTTTCTCAGGAAGAATGTGGTGAGAAGCGATATGAGTTTCGACGGCTCGATCGGATTATAAGCTGATATTTTCACTGGGCTCGATCGTGACGTATGTGATAGCTGTCCCCGTCGATTTAGTCTTTCAAGACATTTAATGCACGTCAGACGGTGGTCGGCCACCGCTGATACTGAACCGCCACGGTATGAACCTATAAATAGCCCTTCCATTTATCATTTACCATTTTTACATCTTCAATCCCCCAAATTTTCTTACTCTTTCTTCCTCTATTTCGCCGCTTGTAGAGCCACCTTCATTAGCGTTTGGCACCATCAACCTTTCATCTTCCTTCGCTTTTCTTTCTCTTACATCAATGGCAAAAACTTCAAAAACCGTACCTCATAAGGAGAAAGCTTCCTCTACACGGTCGTCCGGCGACAAGGCGCCGGTGGAGCCGCCTCCCCATGAGTACGTTCCTAACCCGTGTACTCTGAAGATCGATTTTAAGGTTGAAAATCCTTCGTCTATTCCGGGTCGATATGACCATGTATCGATGTACATGTGCTCGATAACATAGGGTCATCTCGAGGCTGTGAGGAAAGACTGCAACTGGGGTTCCGAGGTTGTGTTGCAAATTCCCTCTCCCGAAGAGAGCGTCATCACTCATGTGGAGGGGGTTTTAAGTGTTTACACTTACCCCTTCACGTTGGGTCCCGCCGACCCAGTGATCATTAATTTTTGCAAAAGATATCAGGTCACCCTCGGTCAAATTCATCCTTCTCTATGGCGTATAGTAACCTTACTTCACTTCTTCTCCAACAAGGCCGAGGGGCTGGATTTTTCCCTAAATCACCTCATACGATTGTATCGGCCTCAAATCTTTCGAGGACTAATCAGGCTTCATCATCGGGCATCGAAAGCTTTGATGTCGAGCATCAACGAAGACAAGGATCGGGGTTGGATGGGCTGTTATATTCGGGTGAGGACCCGTGACCTCATTCCGAAAGAGAAGATGTCGTTCCCCGAGGAATGGAATTTCGACCGTAAGTGGTTTTCATAAGACGTTGCTTTTCGTATCTTTCTCCGATTATATCTGATATCTTTCTCCGATATACAGCTGCCCCTTGGATTCCACAAGCGGTATCAGACCTTGAGGATTGGGTTCGGAAGTTAGCCTCGACTTCCTCTTATGCCGAACACACTTGGCATGATTTGGCAAAAGGTAGATGGGAGGCCAAGAATCACGGTAAGGGTCACTTCTCGTGTTCTTCGAAATATTTTTTATGCTCCATTCGTTACCGATTTCCTTTCATGCAGGCGTAACCAAGGATGCCATTTTGAGTAGGGGACCCTTTTCGGGATTGCTTTACTGGAGTCGATGATGCCTCCGACATTAGTGACGCTTCTCTTCTCCTAGAAGAGGCCTAACATTTTATTTCTCGGGTATTGATTTTACTGTGCTTGGTTTCTTCGTTCTTTTCCAAACTTGACTTGTGTTTTTTCCCTACTATACAGGCCATTAGCAGGTTTCGAGTCGACCTCAGCCAGTGTGAGGTCGAGCTTCAGAAGGTCTCGGGAGAGAGAGATGCCAGCGGCTTCTTTACAGCCAAAAGGACGAGGCTATAAAGGACCTCCAAGCAGATTTGGCTAAGGCTCGTGAAGAAGAGGCCGAACTAGATAAGCAGGTGAGCCTCGTTCTGTTAGAGTATGGGTTTGACCCAACTGTGGAAGCTAACCCTTCGTTATCTCAGATGCAGCAAAAGGTTGAAAAGATCGGGTTGCTTCGGGAAGAAGTCGATCAAATCAAGGCCGAATATAACCGGTGGAAGGAGACTATCGACCGCCTGGCTGCAGAAAAAGAAACCATCTTGGCCAAATTATTATCGGCCGATGTTCAGCTTTGAAGCGTCAAGCAAAAGGGTTCGGCTCAGGCCAAGAGGTTCGAGGAGCTTGAAACACGGCTTGCTGAGGCCAAGGCGGAGGTTGAGTCGTCGAAAGTCATGGCGGACAAGTCCACTGCCGTGTATCGGGCTGATGCCGAGGCTGCTCAGATGGAGGCAAGAGAGGCAGCGGATACTGTCAACACTCGAGCATATTGGGTTGCCGAACTTGCTAAGTGTCGGTCTCGGAGGGAGACCGTCGAGGAGATACACGCTCGAGGTTTCGACCTTGCTAAAGAGATAAAAAGAGCTAAAGAGCTCGAAGCTGAAGCTGAAGCCTTGGCTTCTGATGGCGATGATAATGATGATGATGATGATGATGATGATGGTAGCAAGAGCGGGTCCGAAGATAGGGGGAGCCCGGTGGAGAAGAGACAGCTCTCGATGATAACCCAGAAGCTTAGCCCTTAGCTTCTTCTATGTTGCATTCATTTATGTAAACCACCCTTGTATATCTATACAAATATCTTTTTCTTTTACTGCCTTGCTTCGTGACGATTTCATTTATGCCTTGCGGATGTTTTTATGAGGATTTAGGTGATTTCATCGAATTCGGCCTTCGTAGCCTTTAATTTGACTGAGTGATTGTTTTGAACTCAAACTCAGAATATCTTATCCCGTGGGCCTTTTATGACCGAGTGAGTGATTGCTCAAACTCGAAGTAAGATAGCCCTTAGGCTTTAATTTGAGTGAGTGATTGTTTCGAACTCGAACTCAGAATATCTTAGCCCATAGGCTTTTAATAATTGAGCGAGTGATTGCTCGAATTCGAAGTAAGATAGCCCTTAGGCTTTAATTTGAGTGAGTGATTGTTTCGAACTCGAACTCAGAATATCTTAGCCCGTAGGCCTTTTATGACCGAGTGAGTGATTGCTCGAACTCGAAGTAAGATAGCCCTTAGACTTTGATTTGAGTGAGTGATTGTTTTGAACTCAAACTCAGAATATCTTAGCCCGTAGGCTTATAATAATTGAGCGAGTGATTGTTTTGAACTCGAACTCAGAATATCTTAGCTCGTAGGCTTTTTATGACCGAGTGAGTGATTGCTCGAACTCGAAGTAAGATAGCCCTTAGGCTTTAATTTGAATGAGTGATTGTTTCAAACTCGAACTCAGAATATCTTAGCCCGTAGGCTTTTTATGACCAAGTGAGTGATTGCTCGAACTCGAAGTAAGATAGCCCTTAGGTTTTAATTTGAGTGAGTGATTGATTCAAACTAAAACTCAGAATATCTTAGCCCGTAGGCCTTTTATGACCGAGTGAGTGATTGCTCGAACTCGAAGTAAGATAGCCCTTAGGCTTTGATTTGAGTGAGTGATTATTTCGAACTCGAACTCAGAATATCTTAGCCCGTAGGCTTTTAATAATTGAGCGAGTGATTGTTTTGAACTCGAACTCAGAATATCTTAGCCTGTAGGCTTTTTATGACCGCTATCAAAAATCCCTTTGATGGTGGTTGGCTTTTAAGCCCGTTTGAATCATAAAGCAGGAAAATCTTTTCAAAGTGTGAGATATCTGAAAAAGAAGTTCTCCTTTATAAGTCATTACACATGTGTTTGTATCTTGTGCCAAAGTCCGAGCGAAACTACGCGGGCATGGTTCGTTTTGACCATTTGGCCCTTACACTTTTCTCTATCGAGACCATGTTTGTCATGAATTTGATATGGAATAACTTTCTTGTGTCGAACTTGATTTATTCGCTTAGTAGCCCCCCAGTATTCAAGGTTGATTATGAAGGAGCCTCGGATACTATTGATTTGTCCCCTGGTAGCACATAGTTGTTGTCTCGTTAATAACCTTGTCGGAAAAACCCATTTGGGATAAAAGCCAAACTTGAGGGAAAAAGAGTACAACGCGTGCTTTGAAAGCAGAGGTCTTGATGTTTTTCGTCGAATTCCTGCAATGAGTTAGTTTCGAATGTACGTATATAGACGATAGAGGAGAAAATCATACCTTAACAGTAATATCGTTTGAGAAGCGATATGTTCCAATTGTTTGGTAACTGTTTTCCATCCGTTGCTCCAAGTTTATAAGACCCTTTCCCGACTATATCGAGGACTTGATAGGGTCCTTCCCAATTTGGGTCGAGCTTTCCTTCATTAGGATCTCGAGTGTTAACGGTGACCTTCCTTAGGACCAATTCCCCGGCCTTGAAATGGCGGAGTTTGGTTCTTATGTTGTAGTACCTTTCGATTTGTTGTTTTTGTTCAGCCATTCGAACCAATGTCGCCTCTCATTTTTCATCTAATAATTCGAGGCTAGTATTCATTGCCTCGTAGTTCGATTCTTTCGATGTATGTCGTAACCTTGCGCTTGGTTCCCCGACTTCGACCGGAATTAGGGCTTCGGATCCATACACTAGGGAAAATGGGGTTGCTCCCGTACTGGATTTAGATGTTGTCTGATATGCCCAAAGGACTTCGGGCAAAAATTCTCTCCACTTTCCTTTAGCTTCATTCAATCTTTTCTTTATGTTTTGGGTGATAATCTTGTTCGTTGATTCGGCCTGTCCGTTCCCGCTATGATGATATGATGTAGACAGTATTCTTTTTATTTTATGGTCTTCGAAGAATTTCGTCACTCTGCCGCCGATAAATTTTCTACCATTGTCGCATGTAATTTCTGGTGGTATCCTAAATCGACACACGATGTAGTCCCAGATGAAATCTATAACCTCTTTTTCTCTCACCTTTTTCGAACGCCTGTGCTTCAAACCATTTAGAGAAATAGTCAGTCATAAATAGAATGAATTTAGCTTTACCTGGGGCCGATGGTAGAGGGCCGACGATATCCATTCCCCATTTCGTGAATGTCCATGGAGAAATGACCGAATGAAGCTGCTCTCCGGGTTGGTGGATCATCGGTGCAAATGACATTTATCACATTTTCGGATGAACTCCTTAGTGTCCTTCTCCATGCTATCCAAGTAGTACCCTGCTCTGATGATTTTTGCGAATTAATGGTTCGGCGCCGTAGTGGTTTCCACAAGTGCCTTTATGAACCTCTCGTAAAACATAATCGGTGTCTCCTGGTCCCAAACATACCGCCAGTGGTCCGTCGAACATCATTCTGTATAATGTTCCATCTTCAACCAGCGTGAATCGAGCAGCCTTGGTTCGTAGAACCCTCGATTCTTTAGGGTTCGATGGGAGTTTTCCGTTCTTTAAATATTCAATATACTTATTCCTCCAATCCCAAGTTAAGCTCGTGGAATTTATTTCGGCATTTCCATCCTCGATTACAGATCTTGAGATTTGAACGACCGTCCCCGAGTCGATCTTATCTTCCTCGATCGATGACCCCAAATTTACGAGTGCGTCGGCCTCACAGTTTTGTTCTCGAGGCACATGTTGTAGGGTTCATTCTTTGAAACGGTGTAGAGTTACCTGTAATTTGTCCAAATACCTTTGCATCCTATCTTCTCGAACCTCGAAAGTTTTGTTTACTTGGTTCACCACTAGTAAAGAGTCACATTTGGCTTCAATGACTTCTGCTCCCAGGCTTTTAGCTAGCTCGAGACCTGCAATCATGGCCTCGTACTCGGCCTCATTGTTAGTTAATCTAGTGGTTTTGATGGATTGTCTAATAATGCCACCTGTGGGAGGTTTCAGTACGATGCCAAGCCCGGACCTCTTCAAATTTAAAGCACCATCAGTGTAGAGGGTCCAAACCCCCGACGACGTACCCGATTTTAACAAGAGTTCTTTTTCAACTTCGGGTACGAGGGTTGGCGTGAAATCGGCCACGAAGTTCGCTAAAATTTGGGACTTGATGGTCGTACGAGGTTGATATTCGATATCGTACCCACTGAGTTCGACGGCCCATTTGGACAATCGACCTGATAGTTCGGGCTTGTGCAAAATATTGCTAAGTGGGTAAGTGGTCAAAACGCATATGGGGTGACATTGAAAGTATGGTATTAACTTTCTAGAGGCGCTTATTAGTGCAAGTGTTAATTTCTCTAAGTGAGGGTATCTAGCCTCTGCTTCCCCTAAGGTCCGACTTACATAATAAACAGGAAATTGTGTACCTTGCTCTTCTCGAATTAGGACCCCACTTAGCGCGATTTCCGATACCGCCAAGTATAAGTACAGCTTCTCATCTGTCCTCGGAGTGTGAAGTAGTGGTGGGTTCGATAGGTACCGCTTCAATTGTTCTAGTGCTTGTTGGCATTCCGGGGTCCAGGCGAAATCGTTCTTTCTTTTGAGTACGGAGAAGAATTTGTGGCTTCGATCTGATGACCTCGAAATGAATCGGCCTAAGGCAGCTATCTGCCCGGTCAGCCTTTGCACTGCTTTCATGCTATCCACGATGGTGATGTATTCGATGGCCTTAATTTTGTCGGGGTTGATCTCGATTCCCCGATTCGATACCATGAAACCAAGAAACTTGCCCAACCTAACCCCGAAAGCACATTTCTCGGGGTTAAGCTTCATGTTGTATTTCCTTAAGATCTTGATCGTTTCCTGCAAATGAGTCAAATGGTCCTCTGCGCGTAGAGACTTAACTAGCATGTCATCAATGTAAACTTCCATCGACTTACCTATTTGTTCTTCGAACATTTTATTCACTAGGCGTTGGTAAGTAGCTCCTGCGTTTTTTAGCCCGAATGGCATTACATTATAGCAATAGGTTCCGTACTTGTTGATAAATGAAGTCTTTTCCTGGTCCTCCAGGTTCATTCAAATTTGATTGTACCCGGGTCTCGGAGTAGGCATTGAGAAAAGTAAGGATCTTGT